AGGGTGAAAGGATGCAGCCTTGTCTGACCCCTTTGCCAATTGGGAACTCCCTACTTGCTCCTCAGGAAGAAAGAAAAAAAAGGGGATGTTTTAGACGTATGATACTTCATAAGAAGATAGATAAGAAGAGCTGGGAGGAGAGGATCAGACCAAAGACATAGAGATCAAGCAGATAATCCCAGGAAAACTAGAGAAAGGGCACGGAGGCCATAACAATCTCCTAAAACATAAGCATACCAACAACTGGTACTCCATTGGTATGTTGTTTCTGGATGCAGAGGCTCTGTTTAGCCACCAGAAGTTGATTAAACTTACAGAACAATCCTATGGATGTCCACTCACCAGTAAGATCTTTTCTATTCAGTGCACCTTGCTCCCAGACAATCAAATGTGGGACTGCAGGCTTTAGTGTCTGAGTAGGGAAGAGACTGCACTGTGAATGTGTAATACTGATTTTCAGTTGACAAGGTGCAGGGAAAGGCAAAGAGAATTATCCACTACTGCTTTTATGACAAAAACATTAGAAAACTGAGAGTGCTTTTTTGCTTTTGTTTTTTTAGTAAAAAGAAGGGAGGGAGGGGGCACAACAGAGGAATATAACATTACACATGGTGAGAAAAGAGTGGACTGAACTATACTAGTTTCTTTGAAAAGAACGAGTCGGTCACTGTTTAATCACAAAACTGACTCAAGGTTGACCAAGACAAAAGGGCAAAAAGAGCAGTTCTCAAGGCAATTTGGAGTTATGTGTGAAACCTAGTGATGGCTGTTTCTAAGATATTCCTTTCACTATACTTGTGTAAAAAGCAAAAGCAAGTTCAAAATGGCATGTATAGGATTCCCCCCCCTAATTTTTTCCCCCTTCCCAATAACCCTTTGAAATAGGTGGAAAGAAATAGAGGAGCTTTGTGCCCGGGGAATTTAGCTAAACAGAGATTTGAACACATCCTAAAGGCATCAGAAGCTGTCTCATTTTGGAAGCTAAGCAGGGTCAGCTCTGGTTAGTACTTGGATGGGAGGCTGCCACTGAACACCAGGAGCTGTAGACTAGATTTCAAAGGAAGGAACAAAATCTCTTAGTATTCCTTGCTTATGAAGTTCATGGGGATTGTCATAGGTCAACAGATGATTTGAAGGTACACACATATCACTTATATCTTCAAACACACATTGTGCTCCCAGGTTACTGAATTTATTTCAGCACTTTGGAGAGCACCTTGAGGAGATCTTGTCAGGCAGTGATTCCCAAACTTTGTTCCTCCAGGTGTTTTGGACTTCAAATCCAAGAAGCCCCAATCACCATGACCAAAAGCCAAGAATCCTGGGAGCTGGAGTTGAAAAAATTTGGTGGACAAAAGTCTGAGAACCACTGCTGTATGGTTTGGACCAAAACTTGGAATAGATTCCCTGATTCTTGGAAGCCACTAGCTGCCACTGTTTCCCATGAAGAACAGAGACCGGAGAAAAAAACTTTATATCACTGCAGTTATGAGGTGAAGGGGCTTAATGGCCAGAAAAATGGGAGCCGTAACCTGGAACTGAGCCATAAACTGAGACAGTATTACATCTCAGTGGCCTGAAAAGCTCAACCTGTTGAATTTCTTTCAGGGAAAGAAAAAGACATAAACTTTACCTGATGCTCCCACTGGCTACCACCTATGGCCTGATTTTTTTATGCAGTAGGTACACTTGAAAGGTACCACTTTTATGTGGTAGGAAGCAACAAGTTGGCAGGTTGAATGGACCCACCATGAAGTGACCTGCAAGCTATTAAGGAATAAGGTTATAAACTTATCAACCTTCTGCCTTAAGCCTGAGGATGCATCTGTACTGCAGAAATAATCCAGTCTGACACCACTTTAACTGTGATGACTCAGTGTTATTCTGGGGACTGTAGTTTTGTGAGACATTTGGCTTTGTCAGAGAGCTCTGGTGTCACAATAAACTACAATTCCCAGAATTCCATAGCATTGAGGCATGGCAGTTAAAGTGGTGTCAAACTGGATTATTTCTGCAGTATGGATGGAGCCTGAGACTGATCTGGGATGCTGGGAGCTGGAACAAATCAAAGACTTAATTTGCAACCTTGTTTACCAAACCCAGAGCCCTGAAAGCTATGATTTCCAGTTTTAATGAAGAAAGTGCCTCTCAGCACATGTAGACTCCCTTCTCCATTCCCAAGTAGTACCTAACAACCAGTTTCAGTTTGACAGACAGATGGTATGAATTCCTTCCAGGTTGTCCTCACTAAGCCCTGGACTGATTTCTTCTTAGAAATGAAGTACTAGGCAAGTTCTTTCAAGGGATCTTCCACAAGAGGTTTTGGGACTTTCTTTTCATGTGGAGAAGACGGTGGAAGTGAACCAGTTGGCTTAATGGGACCATGGAAAAGAAGGTGCACTTGAGTTATTCTTGTATCTCTCCAAGAGTATGGATTGCTGACGGTCTTCATTGCTAGTCTCTGAGAAACAAAGTCAAAGGATACCTTCAACTTGCAAATTTCAATATGTTACATCTGAAAGCAAGGGTGGGGATACCTATTTGCTTTGATTTGTCTGTTTTTTTTAATGCATTATTTTTAAAAAGGAAGAAGAAAGTTCTCTTCCTCTGTTAGTAAAATTAGTGTTTGCACCCTGTGCTTCTTCTAAAGAGCTCAGCAAAAATATTCCACTTTATTCCCTACAAGTAAACTGTGATGTTGTTTCGGCTGTGAAGTAGTGACTGGCTCGAGATCACTCCATACTTCAAAGCTGATTCCAGCCTCCCCTGGGACCAGTCCAACTCTCTATCCATTACACACGATACACACAGGCTTTCCTGAGATTTTCCTCCTGTCTCAAGGCCCTCAAAGCTTTTAGATGATGTGATGGCTTTTGTGAAGTACTAGACAGCTGTTGGATGTTTAGGTGCAAAGAAACCCCTTAATCCAGTACAAGGAGGCAACTCATAACTGATTCCATTCATCATACTCCATAACTGGTTCTGGGCTGGGCAATTGGCAAAAAAGATGCAGCACTTTTGTCTATGTCGCACCCCAACAATTTCACACTAGAGCAGAGTACAAGATGGTTCCCTTCTCCATTCCACCTCCAGAGACTGACTAGACTTCCATTTGAGTTCCAAATGAGTTCCATTTGAGTCCCAATTCCATACTAGCAATGAAACAGGATCTATCAGGTATAGGATTGTCACTGGCAGTGTTAGTGGTGGCACCCAGTGTGCATCATTTTTGAATATCCCCTCCTCTCTTTAACAACCTTTTCTGGGTCTTGTGGAGCTGTTAGCTGGG